GTTGAGACTTACTTGGACGGGGAACATCCTCTTAAAACTACAGTCTTCTAGCTTTTCAGGTTCTCGGGTTAGCAACTTAACCAAGAAAAACTTTGGTGACCCCGTACGTAGGTACAACGCATACTCGAGGGCTGGGTTTGAGCTCGTTGAGACTAGTGTGGACGGGGAACATCCTTTTAATATTACAGCCTTCTAGCTTTTTAGGTTCTTGAGTTATCAACTTACCCGAAAAAAATTTCACGGGCACTTCTCAGATCCCCGAGTTACGAACTTACTCGAAAAAAATTTTGGCGGACCCGTCCGCGAGTACCACGCCTACCCGGGGGCTGAGTTTGAGCTCGTTTAGACTACGTGGATGGGGAACATCCCCTTAAAATTTCAACTTTCTAGCTTATCTGATTCGCGAGTTAGCAGCTTACCCGTAAAAAACTTTGGCGGGCTCTTACGTGGATACCACGCAAGTAAGACCGCCCATTTTGGAGATGGAGGGCCCGTACGTGCATGTAGATTAACTTCCCAAAGTCTCAGCTCTGTAGCTCTTGTAGGTCTCGAGAAGAAAAATCGGTACAGACGCACAGCGCACACACAAACACACACACACACAGATAACCTCTCGTCAATATGCATTTTCCGCATTGTATAGCTGCAAAAAAACGATAAAAAGTAGACGAACTTAGCAACAAAATTCCCCGTCACGTGCTCTAGAAAAGAATGAAGCTGGAGCTGGACATTCCGTAAAAAGCGTGTGTGCTCAAAAAATAGTAGACTTTGCAGCCTCTAAAATAGATTTCTTTGCGTTGTTGGTATTAAAACAGAAAAGTTCTTTGAAAAGAATGTTGCTGAGGTGAGCTGTCCGTTGCACTAAACAGTGAATGTGCAGTAATTTAGGCATTTGTATTGTCGTTGCTGTCGTCTGTTTTTGGGTCACAAGGCTGCAGTGAAAAGTCTGAATGACTAGAGACCAATGTCCCGGCCATTAGCGCTCATTCACAGAATAAGCTTATTTAAAACAAGAACACTTAAACATTCAAGTGAGGCGAAGCAAACAAAGACTGTGTAAGGCTATCTCAGGACCATATTTCTAGGGCATTTCCTGTCACAGCTACATGGTGCCTCTTCTTTTGACACTTGCACTTGGTTGTAGTTTATTTCAATCTAAATCAAAACTGAGTCGAAAGAATTGTAAAGGAAATTCTGTTCTGCGTTCTCAGACTCAATAAGGCATAAAACTAGCTCTGTTCCAAAGCTGTGCAAGACAATGCTTCCGGACTGTGAATTAGCGACAAGTAGCATGCAGTAATAGCTACACAATGAATCACTTTGTCTTATCAAAATTTTGAACTTTTAGTGCTGTACTGTATGATTATTACTAATACAGTGACGCTGGAATTGTGTAAATTTTTAAGAAACTTATTACAACTTCAACAATATGAACTTGAAGTACTTTTACGCTTGATAACACGTATCTCACTTGCTTCAGAAATGCTTTGCGAAATACTGGATTAGAATTTAATGATGGGAATAAGCAATCAGGGGCAAATAGTAAGAGGCTGGAGAATTCGGCGTGTCTGTCCTTGATGTACAACTTTGCCTCAGTGATGTTAAATGCTTCGC